GAATTACTTGGGTTTGCTAAGCACAATTGATACTGTCACTCACTTATCTAACCAATTAGTGCTTCTAAAGAATGTATTTTATTTGTTCACTATCGTTTATTATCTATGCAGTAATCTTGCAGCTTCTCAGACAACAAATGGCTGTCTTACATCTGGGGAATAAAACACACAAAAGGGTGTTGGTGTGCTGTTTGAATACATGCAATTACTGGTAGTTAAGTTCTAATTAGCATAATTAGTTTTGAAACAGTTCCCATAATAACTGTCAACATTATGTCAATTTAGCTGAAGTTAATGGCATATTTAACAAAGACACACTTACTCATTTTCAGTATTATACTATTAAAAAGAGAGGAAGAGGGAAAGCTCTTTCTGAAGAAGTAGAACTGTTCTTCATAGACATTGGACATTTCTTATGTTTCTTCCTTTCAGCAATCCAACTTATAAACAAGTACTTTATATAATTAGCCCCCTCCAGTTTCCATAAGACCATTCTTACAAATTAACACTGACAAAATGGAAATAAAAAGCAACCAAATTACAGATGTTTGCAAACTCAGTCTTCTATTGTTTTGGGGAAGGCAGTTTTCAGAGGAATGTCTGTTTTGGAGGGGAAAGAAATCAAGAGGTAAAATACCCTGTAAAATACAAAGTAAGTAATATGCTCAAAAGTAGCAAATATTTCCAGTCATATCTAGACAAAACATCCCTTCACTGCTTAGTAGGAAAGGGCATAAGGCCAGTTTTACTGCTTTTCTAGTTTTGATGTTACTAGAAATTATTTCCAATTACAAGAAACCATATGCTTTTCCGAGTCTAACCTACTTCATCTCACACAACAGAAGGAATAGCCAACCTAAGCTCAATACTTGCCATAACACTGAAATCACACATGCAGTCTTGACTGAATTTAAAAGCCAAGTGTATTACAATCTACATGCTTCATTTGAGGATCTTTGTTATAGTGTTTTTATTACATTAATATTTCATAGAGCAAGTTACCATAAAGTACTCATGAAATATGCTCTCTCAGAAAGCTCTCTGGACTGTGAGAAACATTTCATGTGACACGAAGGATTTTTTTGATTTATATAAATCAGATAAACAAAAAGAAAGACTTCCTGCTCCTTAAAGTAAGAGATTACTATTTTTTTAATTAGCGAAAAAACCACCATACAGCCAAATAAGCAATAAATCAATAAAGTCCATAAGGAGTTTACAGTAAACAATGACAAAGCCAAATCTGAAAAATTTTTCCCAATTAATTTGTGCAAATTAATTTCCTTTCATCTACACATTTATCATTATGTATCATAGACACTTTAGCTTTCTATTTTTTTTAATATTTGAAGCTAACTAGAAAATGTTAAAGAATTTCATTCAATCTGTGTCCCACAAAATACCTTTATGCCTATAAAAGAGTAATTAATTGCCCAATTTCAGACTTGTTACCATAACTTTAAGCATATCAGCTTATTACAATGAGAACTTAACAAAATTGCCTTTATTTCAATTTATTTTGAAGCATTTTCCAAAAATTCCTCTCAGTAATAAATGGAAAAGTCAAAACCGTAAGTCTACAAACAATATTTGAAAATACTTATGGAGTGGCAGGGGACTGGTAGAGAACAGGAGAATGACCCCTAAACTTTGGACACTGAAGGAGGCAGCAACTTCATTTTAATTCCAAATCCATCCTACCCTGAAAAGATGCCTGAAGTGAGATGACTGACAACCTACAGTGCAAGGAATGAGATAAACTAGCTCTACTACAGTTTTCCTACACTCCTGCAAAACTCAGCGTTGAGATGCACACTGAATTGCCTTCCAGGAGCAACTATTACTGACCATGGAGAGGAAGAGACCGACCAGACCAACACGGCCCATAAAAACAGCCTAAAGCAGAAGCACTCCCCAGCTGAGCTTTCCCTTTCTATTCCGCATTGAAGACATTCCGCATCATTTTCTTAATGTTTTTAAGCCCACACTAATTCTCTGTGCAGAGTCCCATTGTCTGTGTCACCACCAGAGAACTGTCTGTCATGGAGAATTCAAAATGCTCATGAGAGAAACTGAAGAGTAGCACAACTCTGACTGAGCTGCCTGTGGGGCCTCCACTGTGGGGAGGCCTCACTGCAGTCACAACTTCCTCATGAGGGTGAGAGGAGGGGCAGGCACTCATCTCTTATCTCTGTGCCCAGTGACAGAACCCAAGAGAACGGCCTGAAGTTGTAACAGGGGAGGTTTAGATTGGACATTAGCAAAAGTTTCTTCACCCAGAAGGTGGCTGGGCACTGCAACAGGCTCCCCAGTAAGTGGTGACAGCACCAGCCTGACAGAGTTCAAGAAGCATTTGGACAATGCTCGCAGCCACATGGTGTGATTTATGGCGTGTCTATCTATCTCTGTAGGGCCAAGAGCTAGACTTTATGATCCTTTTGGGTCCCTTCCAACACAGATTATTCTGTGATTCTGTGAATGAAGGGTCCACATCAAATCCCATACACTACCCACTCATCACAAAATCAGCCTTCTCCTATACATGTTTAAACTAGCTCCGCGGGTCTACACAGAAACTGTATTTTTAATTTATAGTCCAACTGCCTATACTACAGGAGTAAATCATGCATAGCTATTGAACTGTATCTAAAGCAACAACCTGCAGCCCATTTTTAATCAATATTCTGTAAAAAAAAATCTATAATTTCCCACAGAAAGGTTTTACACTTGTGAACCAGTGAGAGATTTTGTGAATTTTTAATAAATTATTGACAGAACAAGAAAAAAATTTACGCTTTTTGTACCCTGTTTGCAATTGCATTAAGCACTAGCATGTATCTTTGACCTGTTCACTTGTCATTCTTGTCTGTATTGGCTCATAATCACTACTCAGTCAGATCCGTATCAGCTGAGTATCAACCCAAGTGAGAATGACCAGTTCTGGTAAAAGAACTAATAACAGGTTCATTATTTTTCAGATGAGCAAGGCAATACATTTAAAGTAATTTCAACTCAGACTGTGACCAGCTACATGAAAATTCTTCATAAAAATCACTTTTAAATAAGAGCAAACTCTCTCCTAAGCATGATTAAAAGCAAAAGCTCCAATTACTAGAATCTACCAATAGGCCTCCCAAATTCAACTCTACCAAATCATGGAATCAAGGGGAAAAGAAAAGTATGCAAGGAGGGGCCCTAACTTACGGCCCCTTTTAAGCAAAGACCAAAGTCATTCAAAACCCGACAGCAAAGTATTTGTCAAAGGAGGCTTGAGAAGAGCTCTGCCTATGTGACAATAACATTAACCTTCTTAGGAGGCAAGTCTGATCAGCAGTTCCTGATAAGAAATAAACACTTCTGAGAAACCTGCACCTCCACCCTGTGCACAATCTGCTCAGATCTGCTTAGACGGTTCTTGCCTGCTTTTGCATCAGCATGAAAGAAACTGCAGTCAGGCACAGATAAAAGATGTGGAGAGACAGGAAGGAAGGAATCTGTGGCAGACAGATATGCCATAAAACTATATAGGTGATGAGTTAAAGGGCCTTAAGGAAGGCTCACTGAATTTTTCATTAGTCTACTGTTTTATGACCATTTAAAGTCAAAAATAAAAGTCATTATTGTCAAAAATGGTGCTGCATATTCCTCTTCCTCTAGTTTAAGCATCACAGCACAACAAAAACACAATATTGCTAGCAGCATGCCCCCTAATAGTCATGCAGATAGAAACAGACCATCAAACAGCAACACAGCCCTTCTTAAATGCAGTTAATATGGAAGAAATATTTTTTTATTCCCAAATAAAGAAAACAAGAAAAAATGTGGGTTTAATGCAATTTAAATTCATTTCTGACCATTCATCTACTTTCTTTTTCATTTCAATTACACATAATCCAAATACTTCATTGACAAAATTCACAATTAACAAAATTCATAGGTTGACATTTAATTCCCTGGAAAATATTAGGATTCAAAGCATAGCACTTCCAATAGAATTAAATGTTTGCAGTCAGTGTGGAGTCTAAAAGCCATATCTGCCCTAAAGAGCTATAAACAGCACCACCAACACCACCAAGCAGAAACCAAGATTAGATTTATAAGTGAAGATTTGTTGCATTTGAAGTGAAATACTACTTCAGACAGATCATGGAGAAAACAGCCATCTACCTATCAATACTGTATGAAAAAGAGCCATGATGATATTTCTTCAACATTGGCTGACCATAGCTGCCTTCAACCTGAATATTGTGTTCAAAAAACATCCAAAACAAATCACAAAATAAGCTTCTCCTAGAAAGTAGATATGGATCAACAAAGTTTTAATGACCAGCTAAAGGGAAGAGATAGGGGAGGCAAAGCATTAATAATTTTTTCTTTCTTTATACGAGCAACATATTACCACAACTCCTTGAAGTATAGACTAGTACACAGGGCCCTGCATTAAATTCCAATACTTCTTAAGATATTAATACACAGAAACACAAAGCATGAAACAGATGCCTGAAACCAAAAAGCTGAAAGGTCAAGTGTATGATGGATCTCTGCCCCTTTCTCTTCCCTTATACTTTTATCCAAAAGACTTCATTTAACTCTTGCTTCCCACATCTGTGTCCTCATGAGGACTAAGTACTTTCAGAAGTGGAAACAGACATTGATAGAAAAGAATGCTCAGGAGAAAGGACAGTTGCCTGCTATGGCATGCCTTTTTTTAAGGAAAGAAACTATTTAAATGCAAGCAGCTATATTAATGCAACATTCAGCTCAGGCTTTATGCAAAATCCAGTAACCCAATTCAGAGTTACTGCTACCATAAATGTTATTCAGCCACACTCAACATATTAAGTAATGTGTGTAGGCAAGCATTAAGTTCTTCAAAAAAGTAGTGTAAGGAGGAGAGGTTGGTATGGAAATAGACTTTGGTTTGAACTCCACCCTCCCACCAAGAGACACAGAGATAAAAAATTTTTGGTACATATCTAGTATTGAAAAAAGTTACTCACCAAACTAGCAGTGAGTGAAGGTGCTGACTGTCCAAATGTTTGGTAGCGCATCCGAACAAGATTAGTGGTTTCTATAGGTTGCCACAGCTGCTGTCCAGTTGCACTGGGAAGCAAATATTTGCCTGTCAAATTCAGAAAGAGTAAGTTAAAATATGAGATGTTGCAGTTGAGGCAATGCAATGGATGGCTCACTGTAACACACTTGCCACCGGGAAACATCATTCACTGCAGCCCTGACCAGAGCTGATTCCAACAGAATTCCATTCATTTGCTACTCTTTTGCATCATCCTTCCACTAGATACAGTTCTCTGTTCTCAAAACTGTATCTTTTTCCTACATAGAAATATAATTAAAGCAACAAGAGATGCAAATATCTAGAGTGCTAGTTCTGACACTTAAACTCTGAAAGCTAGTCAAAAATGAAAACAAGAAAAAAACATTAAGAAATATTCCTCTATTTTCCCCTTGAAGGAATAAGGTTCTGAGTCTGAGGGACTAAGTGAGACTTATTGGAACAAGACATTTACCACGTGGATAATTACACAACTTTGTGCGTGAGGACTATTCTGCTTCTATTCCAGATTCATCATAATCTACCTAATTCATACCACTCAATTCCCAAGGATCTCCATCCAGCGTCCCAAGTAAGGGGACATGACCGAGGTGCAGGCCAACCATTCCTTAGGAGTGCTCACAGGCTCTCAGTGCCCGTGCTCTCTGCTCAGAGCTGTCACTTGGCTGTGGGCAGGAAACCGCCAGCCCAGGGCCACACAGGTCACAGGACCACACCCCATCACAGTGACACCACTCAGAATTGCCTCCCTACAGGTACTAATGAGGCAGATCACATCTCCAGCTCATGAAGCCTGAGCTACAAACTAGCAGCAAGGAGAATATTCAAGGAACTGTACTTAGATGACAAGCATGTATCAACACTGTTAATTTCTGCTTACTTTCAGCCACTGGCAAGAAACAAGCTATATACTGGTCTTGGCAATATGTCCACCTTAAGTTCTTACTTATCTCTGCAAACTGTGCAAAAGTGGGACAATCACATTACTAAAGCAACTGTCTTCTCTTGGAAGACCAACAAGCTGATGCAAAGCAACAATTCAGAATCCTATTTTTAATCAAATCTCAGTTTAGAAACACAATGCAAGATCTTGACTGAACAGATCAAATGAAAAACATCCCCAGACCACATGGGTTAAACATTTGTTTCCTGAAATCATTAAACCTCACCTCGTTATGCTTGTCGTCTAAGACAGCTGTGCAGTGGCTATGCGCCTGACCACTGACACAGGATGTGTACCCTGGTAAATTGGCACAGGTTTGCCAAGAAATCAAAAGCCTCAGCTTCATCATTTTATTTTAACAGTAGAACCACAGAGAGTTGCTGAGGTCTCTGGGACTCTTTTGGAAACTAGAAGTTCCCAAGCAGCAGCACAGGATAGTCTTTTAACGCTTCCCAATCAGTCCTCCAAATGTGCTATTGTTCTTTGTTACACTGGTAAAGCGGAACCCATAAACATTTTTGCACCCAATTTGCTAACAGCCTGCCTGAAGCTAGAAGAAAAATGTGCAACAAAGCTACTGTTTCTTGCCCATTTATCTAAGATAACATTTCCCAAAACTGGAAAACCTGAATTAACTTTCCATCTGCTCTCTCTGCTTCTTTATACAAAATTTTGGTTCCCTTTTTGCATAGGCTCCTATCATGGTCAACTAAAATGGTGCCATAAAGAGCTTAAGACATTGATTGCAATATACACATGTTTGATAATTCCATTTATGTCAATCCTCAAATATACCAGTGACATATGCAGTCAGAGAGAGCTTTATATCTATCACCTCGAAAGGTTAATTCCTTCTCATCTGGACAGAAAAAAGAGAATTAGGAAGTGATTGCAAAAAACTGAGTTATACAAACCTTCCATTGTATGTTTTACTTCCTTAATGCTTTCTACATAAAAAGAGGTCTATGCCTTTTCTTTCCTTCCTTTTTCACTCTACTTGTCAGACACTGGAAAGATGAAGTTCTCTGAGAAGGGTGAAATCAAACATTTCCTAGTGCTGCGATCCATAGGTTTCCAGACTTCCAGCAACATCCAGACAGCTCCAAACAAGCCATCATCACAATGCTTCAGCAATACCTATTTTGTCAAGTAGACACACAATACGCATAACTCCTTCAGAAACTCTGTATTAATCCCCTCTAGAGGCAATAAGGAAAATTATGTAAAACAATTTTCAACTTCATCACTGTAGCATAATATTAGGGCATTTTATCCTCATAGAAATCAATATTTGAAAAGCAGTAAGTCTTCACCTGATCCTTTCAAGAAAAGGTGCATTCTATTACAGTTTCTTCTAAAACTTGGGAACATCATCACTCTTTGGTTAACAAGTGACTTTCTCATAGGGTGCTGTGGTTTAGGAATGGTATTCCCAAGCTTAGTTAACGCAGTAAAAAAAGAAAATTGTAAGGTGCTCCCCTCCCCCTCTAGTGGGACACACAGAAAGCAGAGATCAAGGGTTGAGGTAAGGACTTTAAATGGAAACAGAAATGTGATTAGAAAATTAACAACAACAAAAGCCTTTAGCAAAAAGGCTAAAGACAAAAATGTAACAAAGAGAGGGTTATTTACATGCAAAAATGCTCAGCGAGTCCAGGACAAGAAAAACCAATGGCAGACAGACCCTCAGCCCACCACACTTTCTCCAGGATCAGAAAGAAACCCTGCTCTTCTTGCTAGCAAGCGAAAGAGACCCTTTCCCTCACCTCCCCACAATGAGACAGGAGGTAATGAGAAACATTCGGGCCTTGGCCTTGCCCACCCAGACAGCACACGGCCACCCAGGACCCCTGGGCTCAGCAATCCAGCAAGCTCAGCTGCCCTGGCAGCCAGGACTACAGCACACACCACCACACAAGGCACCGCAAAGAAAAATAACTCTGTCCTGGCCACAACTAGGACACCGGGGGAACTGGGACACTAGGCCCTTCCCACACTGCAGCAATTTTCATTTCATATGAATCCCACTTGAGCTTCCCAAGAAAGACGATGGAAGGCAATCATTTGCATTTATTACACAAATTAACATTGGTTTAAGTCAAAACAAGCCAGAAAGGTTTAAATAACAATAATTGTATTTAGTCTAGAAGGAGAAAGATATATGAGAAATAAGTGTTATTACTAATGCTTGTACTTACTTTTTGTGTAAATGTGCACCAGATCCAAAATACAGAGAGCTAATATTGTCTGTATCTTATCAGTGCAGGGCATTCTTAACAGCCACCTTTACTATTTTCCCTTTCCAGAGTGATCTATATTTCACTCTGTTTTCATCTTGCTCAGAAATCTGAAAGAAAGTCTAAGATATCTTGATACAGAGGCTAGAGGAGATGCAATCCTATACAACAACAGAATCTTGTCCTAAGCCTTCCTTGAACTGTAATATTTTGCCTGACTCACAAGAAAGCAGAGTGGACTTACTCAGTACTATACAGTCAGTATCTCCATTGCAAGAATTCACTTAATATTTCATTATTTTTCCTGCATGATTAGCATCAAGAAATATTTAAAATAATGTTGGGGGTGTGTCTGTGGAAAAGATAAATTAGGCAGTAAACACTATCAAAATTACCAGTGAAATCATGAGCATGTGTGATGCTGAAATTATCCCTCCCCCTCAAGGAGCCTTGAAGGTACCAGAGTTTTCACAAAATACTGGAATTAAGGTAAGCAGACTGTCTAGAACTCCAGTTCTTCTTTTCTTAGTACACAGGCCTTTAAACACAGAAACGGCATATAAGAAATATGCTTTCTAAGGAGTCAAAATTAGCCAGGTCTTAGGCAAAAAGAAGGTAAGAGATAAATTTCTTATCTGAGAAGAGAGCTAACCTGCTGCATTTGACGATTACATGATAAAACAGTCCCTGCCTAAACTGAGTTAATCATCAACTCTCCCTCAATTCCTCCAACAATAATAAAAAAAAGTTTAAAATCCCCTCATACTGTCCACTCCCCCTTTCCCTTGACTTTATAGCACTCCTACACTTCTTTGCTGTATTTTCATTCATAATTGTATGCATTTTACTGCTTTTACATTTTCTTTGACAACCCTTGATTTTATACATATCCACACTCCCCCTTATTAAGTGACTTCAATGCCAATATTACACAAAACATTTGACCTGAAATACATTATTATTTTCACACTGCATTCATGTCTGCCTTCAAGCCTAATTCTCCGAGCAGCTGTTTTCCTTTTTAAGTGAACTGATTCATGAGGAATTCATGAGGGACTGAGAGGAGGGCTTCAACTCCACCACAACCCTTCCATCTTAATTCAGTATTCTGGCCCATATAAAGCACAGAACACTGCCAGCACCCAGACCACTGATACACTGGCAGTAATGTTCATACTACTTTCATAAGCTGTTGATATTGAGTCATCCACTGATAGAGGGCCCCTATTTCTGTCCTCTTCATTTCCAAAGTGGTCATTGTTGACTTCCTCCAGTTCCTCTGCAGAAGCTTTGCTGGTATCTTTGTCTCGTTTTCTGTGCTTGAAACTATCAGGACAGCCTCAAGTAGCTACATAAAAACTAACATCATCACTTCCCATATCTGAATGCAATCCTTGTTAGTCCAGCACATTTATCAAAACACATTTTGATGAAGGGTGGTTTAAGTTGACTATGTAATGGCAATAATTTAGCATTATTTAATAGTATTTCATCATGGTTGGTGAACATAGGTAACACATCACTGCAGTTCAGTGGCATCTTTCCCTTGAATGTGCCTCTTGTATATCTAGATTAATTTGTAATGAGTATTTGTTGAAGGTCCAAATAGAATCATCATTAATTCTTATTTCTATTATGTTCAGCAAGCACCAATTCGTTATATGACATACTGTATAATTAAAAATTACTTGTATAAGGACAAAGATATTAAAACCACACACTCCACAAAAATCAGTCACAAAAGACAGGCTTTGCTTTATTTTAAATAGAAAAAAATTTCCTCCTGCTGAAGTTCTACTTTCCTTCCTCTGTTCCTCTCAAATGCATATCATAATAAGACAGCTGAGAATTACTAAATGAGCTCAAAT